ACGACGCGTCGTCGCGTCGTGTGTGTGTGTGTGTGTGTGTGTGTGTGTGTGTGTGTGCGTGCGTGCGTGCGCGCGCGCGCGCGCGCGCGCGCGCGCGTGTTGGGATGAGACCAGAGGGGAGCTCCGTGAATTGCATTGGCAGAGTACCTGGCACCGTGATCCCGCTAACCCCTGGCATAACGTGAGGATGTTAAAAACTGGTTCCAGGTTACGAGCTGCCCGTGACCTTCCTATCGTAGGATTTTCCTCCGGCACGGAAGCGAGGATTATCGGCATAGATGATCTACTTTCCCTGCACTTCGATGCATCATTCTCATCATGTTGTGTCCCGATGCAGACGGTGGATCGATGACGCTTCACATTTATGATATAGCGAGAAATATAGCGAGAGTCGCCGTAAATTATTTCTTCACTTTGCCTCAGTCGGCAAATTTATCGCGGTTATTACCTCGGAAACAGATAACATAAATGTGTGGAGAACGTGAAAATAAATCTGAAATTATCTTCGCTATCCCTATTCTTTTAGCGAGATATACTTGTTGAAGAAAAGATTTCGTTTCGTTCCAGATTTATTGACATTGAAATACGTAAAGCGAGACGAGCAAAACAGTAACATGTTTCGTGATCGCATGATGTGCTACTGCTTTATTGCGCAACAATACAACTTACAACTGCATAACACCTTACTCTTGCACAAATTGCGTTTTGATTACGTAGACGTTCAATATCCCTCAACACGCACGTATAAATCAGCTGTCGTTTATTTTCGGCGCGATAGCAATGAAATAGAGATTGCCACGAATGAACATTACGAGCATGAAATTCTCAGCAACATATAATTAGCTAATTTACGTTCAATTACGAGCAACGTTTTGACATACATATGCACTCTGTACATGACTACTCTAACTACATTAATGCATTTATCCAGGCATTTCCATACCAGGCATTTCCATACCAATTTGTTACTATTAGAAGATAAATATCTTCTATTTCTTATTCTTTACACGATTAAAATAAAGCAAAATTCATTTGAAATTCAATGAGAGTTACACTTTTTTTTATTAAAAACTTACCGTTAAAATTATTTTAGAGTACGATAAGAATAAACACCTCTTTCATTCCTTCTAAAATATTGTCATGATCTGCACGTAAAAGATGAAAGATTCGCAATTTTCATATACGAAGCGTTTAGCCTTGAAAAGATTAATGTCATGTGTAGAGCCACAACATGAAACTGTCGATGCATTCTGTTTTCTTCTCGTATCACGGTTTGTTAGTAGCATGAAGCTGAGCGCACGGCGGCATCGTCGACACACTCGATCGAGGTTAGCGCATCTCTAATGCGACAACAGCCAACGATGCATCCTCCATACTGTTACCTACTTCGCGATTATCCCATAGTCAGTGCCACGGGCCCACACACAGACGGTGTTTAACTGTATTAAGGCCCGTGCCACATTCTGAACGCGCAGTTATATTCTCACGAATCGGTGCGAGAAATGGATTCCGCCGCGATGAGCCTACGCACGGCGGTGCGGTTGAGCTCAATTATTTTTCGTTATCTTATAGTCCAAGTGGCAAGTCACAAAAGTGGCGAACTTTCGATTGTTCGCAAAAGTAGAAAAGTAGAACGTTCCAGCCGAGACATTTATCTTAATGACGTCGCATGAATTGTCCCATTCATCCCTCGATGTCTAATTTGCGGAAGTTTGTCAAGAGAATACTTCCCGTGCCGCCATTAGGTCACAATAATATTATTCTTTGCGAAGAAAATTGAAAATTAAAATAGAGTGTCCACTTATCGTTGGCTCTCGCTATTTAAGTCTAACCAAACTGTAATGTATGAAAAAGTAAATACTTCGGAAAAGCGAGCCGCGGGAGTAAAAGTTTACTTATGGTGGAAGATCAGTTATGATGCAGATTTCCGGAATAATAAAAGTGAGGCAATAGGTTAAACCGTCATGAACGATTTCTTCGAGAGATATTTTAGACAAGAACAAGACGTTTCTGCCTGTTATTAGATTCAGGTCAACGATCAACAACAGGTGCTTCCATCGATTCGCACACGGAGGATTTTGATTTGAACTCATTACCATGCTCATTAGATCATGCTCGTTCATGAGAGCACTAAATTTAATAAGGTTTAGTACTAAAACGAAAGAATTCAGATCCAGAAGTGAATTCTATCAAAAGCTATTTGTAATACAAAAGCGGCGTCTCTCTCTGCGTAACAACAAAAACATTTTTTTAGATAGTTAAGTGTAGTCGCACTTGAGCTCGATAAACATCACAATCGAACAAAGAGAAGCAATACGTATGTAAATTTATGTAGCAAACAGGATCTATAAAACAACATTGTATATAAATATTTTAGAGAGAATAATAATAAGGCTCTTTGAATTATATCTTTTTCCATTAACTCTGGGGATATACGAGGAATCTGAGACGTCGGTCAGACACTAAAGTGCGCGAGCTGCGTTCTTCATGCCGTGTTATGATGCGTATAGCTGGTAACCTTCGGAGGCTGTGTAACCCTGCATACTCTGAGTAGTGAATCGAGGATGCTCGATTGGCCCAGTGGCATACAAAACATCGTCGAAGAAAAAGATCATGCTTTTTAGGCCTTATTCTCCACTTCCCGGCGCACGAGAATCGTGGGAGCTGCAACAAGTGAAAAGCAAGCTTTTTCATTCTTCACTTGACAATCTACTTATTCATCTTAATTCATGTATTTAATAACAGCTCTAATAGTAATAAAATCAGAGCAATTTTTCTACCGTAATACAACACACGATTTCTATACATTGTAATACGTGTAGGGATAATACACAATAACGATGACAATTGTTTATCTTTGATTTAAATACTACGGAAGAATTATTATTCTGGGAAGTAATATTATTATATACATTTGACAATAGAAAAGAATCACTTGAATCATATCAGTTTCAGATCTGTCCTGTTAGAGAAAATTTTCTAATCTTCGAATTAATCGTACATACTTTATAATCATCAGCGTTAATTAACAAATGGAATGTATATAAGATAAAATAAAAACACTTAGTTAGGATTAATACGTGAATTAATCATATGTTTCACATCACTCTCTACTTTCTTCAACAATTTCTATTATCGGTCTATTTGATATTAAATAAATTATCTTTCTCGCAAATTGCGGCCCTGTAACATTATATGTACTTCAAAAAATACGAATAACAACTTGCGTAAAAATGGTTACTTTGGCCAACATATTCGTTGATGCTTGATCTTCGATTTCGAATTAAATTTAAAATTTCATCATCCATATTACTGCTTTTCCTACCAGCCTATCTCTCTCGTGTTGTATTTATCTATCTCATCGAATCTAAATTCGAAATCCGAATAATAATAAATATTGATATAAACTCGCATCTGTAACCGCATCGCTATACTAATGTAACCATTATCTATGTAACCACTACATTATCCCGTATTTCGAATATCTCGAAAAGAATGATACGCACCGTTGAGATTTATCTTTTCACTGCACTTCATGCATTCCATTTAACATTGTGGCAAGAACGGTTCTATGTATATATATATATATATATTGGCCATGTATGCGCCATCATGTGCGTGCAGAAACGGTTCTGTAGCGGCGGTCGGAATAATTTTATGCGCATGATGCATTTTACCATAGATGCATTCACGCTCTGTATGTCGTAACACCGCTTTACTCCACCATTACTACTAATTGATAGAACCTATAAATATGACGTTCTCCACAAAGCGTCAGTTCTTATCGAACATGCTTTGGCGGCTCTTCGCGCTTCTGACATTGGGCGATTTCATCGCCATTTGTTCTTGCGAACCCGTAAATAGAAATCCGCAGACCCGTCTGCTGAAAGCTTTGAGGACAGTCGAGTGTACTAACAATGAGCGTGACATCCCCACGTGCAAAACCAACAAGTTGGTCGATACTTTTCCGCCAAAGAGCGAAAATCAAACGCAAGCCAGCAGGAAATTTCAACAAGATCACTTAGATATCAATGTATCGAGTGAAGGTGAGAAATTTTGTTGATTTTTTAAATAAAAACTAATACGTTTATACATAGCACCATAAGTAAGAAAAGTATTCACATATCTCAAATGTTTTTAAGACTTTTAAACAGAAAAAATATTAAATTACAAAGAACTTTTTAAGGAATATACGTTGCGAGAAGCAATAATTTTGTAGCAGGATGTTTGTATTTATGCAGAATTATCTTCAGAAACATATGTTGTACAATATTTTTACTATCTATTACTTATCGTTTCTAAAATTTTGCATTTAATACACAATTTTTAAATAAAGATTTATGAACAAAGAAAAAAATAAAAAAATATAGTGATTTTTAATAATTCTATAATCAACATCTTGAATTTTATACTAATATTATATAATACTGACTAATATTACATAATCAAATTGGAATAAAGTACTTACTGTGAAAAAAGAAATCATAAAATTATAAATAATAAGCTTATTTATTATATTTAATATTATTTTTATTATTTTTTATAAAATAATTTCCTTATAGATATTGCATATATCAGCGGAATAAGAAATATAAATAGAGAGAGATTATTTTTATATATGTATTTATTTATGCTAGCTTATATTATTTGTTTATAATATGTCAGATTCTTTAGTTTGTCATATATTATTGAACTAATCAGTACGATATAATTAGCAATTTAAACTATATGTTATGATTAATTTATTTATTTGAAATTTTAGTTTCTGCTCGAAAGAAAGACAAAGATAAAAAAGGATCCGGAAAAATAGTTGTCTATATGTTAGCTGCTTTGAAAGCAGCAATGATTTATGGACTATTACATGGTGTTGCAGCTCTTGCAGGAAAGGCGATATTACTTGCCAAAATAGCTTTAGTAATCGCTATTGCTTCACTTGTAAAAAAGAATGGTACGTAATTAGATACGGTAGGTAAATCAAATTATGAAAAATTATGACTTTCTTTTTAGATAAAATTTAGAAAAAAAAACTCAGAATCAAGAATATATCTTTTAAAGAACAAGTAAATTGCTCTATAATGATATATATTTATTATGTATTTTTAGAATTGTTTTAAATATTTCATATAGGTTTTATAAAGTTTTCTAATTAAAGAAATTTGAAAGATCCACTATAATGCGATATATATTTTATAATATGAATATGTAATAGAATTATGGATCAATTATCTAAATTAAATAATTTAAATAACATAACTTTCTTTCAGATTCTGAAAAAGTTTCTTATGAAATAGTGAAACATCCACATACCAGTTACATACACACCCATAGCTCAAGCGTCGACTACGATCATCGCAGTGATTATAATGATGATCGTAATGATTATCGAAATGATTATCGTAATGATTATGTTTACGAACATCGAAAGCGAAGACAGCTTAGATTTTAATAAACAATAGATTTTAAATATTTTAAAATTGAAAATCTGCACATAAAATAAATTATTTATACCACCACTGTTAACAAATTTATTTTCAAACCAAATATTTATAAAAATTAACGTATTTTATCATAGTTTTTGATATTTTAAAAAAAGATTAATAAAAGTTATCAAACTAAATACGTATTTTATAAATATAAGTTTGATAAGAAAAGAAAGTTTGATAAGAAAAGATAATAGCTGTAATGTAGACAATTTAATTATTAAATTATTTAATTAAAATTTTATTTTGTATATCAAAAAATATATACAATAGTAATAATTTGTAAATCTTTGAGTATAAATACGTAATACATAATAAAATGTAATACATAATATAATTGTTTAAATAGTTTTATCTTATTTCCCTTATACAATATTTTTAATTGGAGTAGAAGCGAAGTGCTCTCCGGAGCAACGGAGTTGTGTTATTTACAAAAAGTACGGCGCGATGGCGTACAAACTCGTGGCGTACAGACGTGTGTTCGTCAAATTGTTATAGTTGTTGTAGTTGTTGGTTTGAATAAACCCTATGTATTTTAAACGGCGTTGTTATTGCTGAGCGCGGCTTCCTAGCGAAACACAAGTGAGAGCGTCAATGATCGCCGCGAACGCAACAATATATATAGCAATAATGTTTTATTCTTTTACAAAATATTGAAATTAAATATGAATTAAATAACAACACAGTAACAAATTAAATAAAAAATATATATTTAATATTTCTTAAGTACAAATAAAGGCATCTCGATCTGTTTTAATCTTACATTTATGTTACAACTACTATGGATCAGTACTTTAATTAAAAGTACAATGCTTAAACTAATAAAAATCTAAGATGATATATTTATCAAATGAGGACATTACGTTATTATTTATTCTTTTTTACGGAGTAACGTGTTTGTTTGAGTTAAGAAAAAGGTAATGTACATATAAAAATTGTTCTTATTAACTAAATATTTAAATAATAAAATAAAAAATATCGATGTCTTTTTATTATCGGATACATCAAAGAAGACGTATTATACGCGGTAACTAAGTCATAAAATTCTCAAATTTGTGATATCGAATATGATTCAGGTTGGAGGAACAACCTCCATTGCTCGTTGCCAACCACCATATCCTCCACCGTATCCTCCACTTCCACCTCCATGATGTTCCGATGCTGTCGCATAAATCACTTCGTGACCACCTCCTCCGCTCGACACAAGCTTTTTCAAGCCGACTATGGCGCTTAATACTAAAGCCATTTTTGCCGTAAGCAAAGCCGTACCAGCGATGAAAGCTATTTTTCCATAAGCTAATTGAGCCATCATTCCTAGAATAATAAACAAATCATTTATTTTGTAAACAAGATTACAATAATTGATTTGTGTTTTTCACGAATTGATTTTATTCGTGAAATTTCTTCTTTATTTGAAATTGTAAAATAAGAAAATAGTTCAAATCAAAATCACTTTTCAAATAACAGAAAAATAAATTTTATTGATTATTTATATTGCTGACATTGATTAAAAGATTATAGTATAGAAAAACTTTCACTAAATTAATTAAATTTTTTATTTTAATTATATTTCTTTGAACGTTGATCTTAAAGTTATTTCTTCTAAATAACGATATTCTTCTATATGAAAATATTAATGTTTTATAAAAAGAGCTTACCTGCCATTACAGCACCTGCCATTATCATATATCCGTAACCCTTGTTCTTCTTTTTTCTTCCTGTAAATATTGCATATATTTATTTGAATATTGTTAAATCTTTTTCTCTTAAGAAAATATTTTATTTGTTGATTATATTTATTACCAATCCATATCTATGTAAAGTAAGTATGTAAAGTCTTTATTATAAAATATTGTAAATTTCGATTTTTGTAATGATTTAATTGCAAAAATATACGCAGCAGATTTTTAATAACGCAGTTTATTAATATTAATCTCGAAATATTGTTACCTTCAAAAGCGTTGCCTGGTATTGTCAGTTTTACGCTTCTCGATGTTAAATATTCATAAAACTTATTATCCAATTTCTGATCAAGGCTTAGCTCCGTTGCCTCCGTGCCATTTTCTGACATCACTGAATCATGATTTCTGGCAGTAGATGCTGGATCTTTAGTAATTGATATATAATCATTGATTTTGTATACAGAATCATCTTGGATGGCCGAATCGAGAATCTCCAAGGCACGCCGTTTCAGACAATCGAAGGTGTTCTTCTCTTTCGTACACCGCTCAAGCAACTTTGTATATTCACTTTTGGCAGTCACTAAATTACAGAACACCGTGAGATGAAGAAAACGTAAGATCCAAACCGATAAGTGCTTTCTTTCCATCGTAATCGAATGCGTAATCTATGCGCAAAATCTCGTCAATCTTCCTCAGATGTCTTCTAGCTGTCGCTAGCACAATGCTCATCGACTTCTCCTCTGTCGTCACGTTTTTTACTCTGTCCTCTGCTCTGACTCCGCTGGTCACTTCGATAAATCCTGCAGACTACTCGTTAGAATCTGGTTGCATTGTGACTTATATAAGTGTGCACCCATTAGTCTCTCCTACCAACTTTATTAAGATTCTTGGTATACTCGGCCGTAGTTGATCCACGCGCTGTTTAACGCTACACAACGGAAGGAAAGACCTCTCAACCAAAACAATGTCGTACAGCCCCGTAAGTAAGTATCCCTCTGACCTGCTTGTCAAACGAGCCTTAAAATTTCGCCGTGCCAATCGTCGTTAATAACGTATCAGGTTTGGAATGCAGGTAAAATAGACGATATTCTCCATCCAGACACGACGCTACGAACGCAGAACTGCATAGAGAAGCGAAAGAAACAGTTGGAGATTTATTCATCAATTTGCATGCATGACTAACTTTACGTGTTGCAGAATAGTGTCATGCGGAAAAAATTATGTATGTATTATTTTCAAAGCAAAATTATCTCTTATTATTGTTTCTATATATATATATATATATATATATATATATATATATATATATATATATATATATATATATATATATATATATATATATATATATATATATATA